CGAAAAAGAGTTTTGTTTAGAGTAAGGACAAGCACACCTTGACATAATAACAGCTATTTAAAGTTGCAAAATTGCAAGTAAAACTTACAGAAACAACAAAAAGGAGAGAAAAAAACATAGGAGCTACAAGTGGCACACTTCACTTACCCCATCTGCACTTCAAACAAACAGGCAAGTAAGCAAAACAAACAAATAAACAAATAGACAAAAGTACCTGCTCCACCAGTGTGTTATAACCGCTGATATCAACGGTCAGTCCTGCTTGACCTGCCAGGTCTATCACTGTGTCCACAGACATCGGACTGCCAAAATGACCTGACTCTAGCAACAACAGCTCCTCACCTGGATATGGAAAATATATATATAAGAGGTAAAACAAATACATACACATTTTTCCAGTACACTGACATAGAAACATACGTACATGCACATATGGGCAAGAAAATATACAACAAATAAAACAAATGCACACACATTTATAAAGTACACTTACATAAAGACATACATACATGTACGCATGGGCAAGATAATATTATCTAAGAAGTAAAATAAATGAATACACATTTATGAAGTACACAAACATACAGACAAACATATATGCACGCATGGGCAAGAAAATATATACATGGAATAAAACAAATGCACACACATTTATCAAGTACACTAACATAGTGACTAACCATTCTACTTACCTATCCATACACCCAACCACCCATGCAGATGCACACACACACACACATGCAATCACATAAACACACACACACACACACATGCAATCACATAAACACACACACACACACACACACACACACACATACACACACACACACACACACACACACACACATATACACACATTTATACACCTGTACACACTACATACACCACGATGACCAAACTGACAGTGGTATAACAGACAGACATCACTTACCCCTTATCTCTCTACGCGACCCCAGCTTGTTCAGAAACTTCCGGAACGTCTTCGCTGCCAACTGGCTGGCTTGTTCATGTAGCTCTATGGTGGCACGCACAATGTCTCTAACCTAGGAAAAAAAGCAGATGTTAATCAGAAAATCAAGGCCATAAGAATTCTCACAAGAGGTAGTGCAATTACTCTGCACAGAGTCCAAATGATAGGAAATGTTTTACACCCCAATCGACCCCCATGTATTTGTTAATAACTCGCAACCATAATTTGGTCGAGGGTTCAAATTCCGTCAGGGGCCTGATGTTGTGTCCTTGGGAAAAGCACTTTAAGGTGGGAATGGGTACGCAGCTATAGACAGTGAAAGATCTCGTCAGTTTGTTAGTGTTTGAGCGCTTAATCAGCTGCTTGTACTGTATGCTTCCTGGGAAGCTGAGAATGTTTCGGAGTGTTCTATAGCCTGCTGGGGTAATAATATAGTGTAAAGCATTTAGCTTGCTGTCAAAAAGGGATATGCGCTTTACAAATTTATGCTATCTATTATTAGTAGTAGTATGCATGTCACGACATAGTGGAATCAGGCTCTCGTCAATGCTGGGCATGTAGAGTCATAGGCTGAAAGCTTGTCCATTTGTCTTGCATAGGTTGAAAAAAAAAATTCATTTATCTTGAATGGAAGTCGAGATATTTGCGATTGAAGGAGGTGGGGTCACCTGGTTTCAGAAGTAAAATTAGCAAGAAAATGGCCACCAAAGACGAATTATTTCCTTACCTTGAGAGTCCGAAAAAACTGAAAATGTACATTTTTTGTGCCTTTAATCAACGCTTTTCAGTAAAAATCAACACACAAATGTGTTCTTAAGTGGGCATGAAAGGTATTGAGCAGGGCTGCCTACCTCAAAGTTCCCATTTCAGGTAGATTCAGGGTCAGTTTCAGGTAGATTGGCCCAAAATCAGGTAGTACAAAGACAAAGAAGGAAAAAAAAAATTTGATCGTGCCCCATTGAACGCGCTTGCTTTCCGTGATATTGGGTCATTATATTTTAAAAACTTGTTTGTGCATGCACATGTGTGTGTGTGTGTGTGTCTGTGTGTGCATATGCGCATGCTCTCGCGTGTGTTTATATATATGGGGAGGGGAAGGGGGAGTTTGGGTGTGCAAAAGTTAAGATGAGCAATGTGTATGAAACGAGGCAAAATTGTTTTAAAAGGCTTTATGGACTATCGTTCAAGGCACTATCATTCAGTATTGAATCTGGAATTGAGTGCAGGGTGATTGCCAAACTGACTTCAAAACCGCTAGCCCACACCAATAGAAACTATATTAAAACATATTTCACAACACTAGCATGGGACACTGATAAGTCCTTTGTAACTTTAACTAGTTTTATCCTAAAAATACAAAATGAATCCTGATCTGGGCCTGAGGAGAGGCAAAAAGAACATCAACTGCCTAAACCATGTTTGGTTTCAGCAATCATGGATTCTAAAAAGCATGCAAGACAAAACTTATTTATAAAACCTTTATAGTTAGGCTTACGGCAGAGCAAAAAGTGAAAATAAAAGAGAGCGTGT